CAAAATATTTTGAGACTTAGAACTAATCGTAATTGTTCTAGATGGTTTTGTTAACTATCTTAAAGTCTTTCATATACGACAGGAACTTATGTCTTTTCTGAAAATGAACCGCGATCATTTCAGTAGATGTTTTCAGAATTGATTGGTTTTGCTTCTTTAGATCATTAAGAAATGTTTCTGAAGACGAGCTTTATAAAGCTTTTATTGTTTATTTGTTTAACAAATGAAAAAATAACAAGCGACGCTACATCACAAAAAAATTTTTTTAACAAAAAAAAATCATTTTTTCATAAGAAACGACATGGTCCCAACAATCTAAAACGAAAAAAAAAAAGATTTAAGTTTTTAATGTCCAGTTAAACTAACTTACGATGAATGGTAATGTTATTTGAATTAATAATTTCTTTTGATCATTCAATTTTAACATTCCATCATTAACTTTTATCATACCATCATCAATCTTCACCATCCTATCATTAAGTGTTACCATACCATCATCAATCTTCACCATCCTATCATTAAGTTTTATCATACCATCATCAATCTTCACCATCCGATCATTAAGTGTTATCATACCATCAGTAAGTTTAACCATACCATCATTAAGTTTTGTCATACCATCATTAAGCTTAACCATCCCATCATTAAGTATTATCATACCATCGGTAAGTTTAACCATCCCATCATTAAGTTTTGTCATACCATCATTGAGCTGACTCATACCAACATTTAATTCTTGTAATTGTCGGCTGATTTTACCAATAATATCTGACTGGGGAGAAAACGCAAATGAATTTGAATGTGTAGAATTCGATGCTGGTAAATCTACACTATTTCCTGTTAAAGATGTAATGGATCCGGTTATTACACTTTCATCAATGAATGATAAATCTGAGATATTTTCATCTGACATCTTTTTGTTTAACAGAAAATAATTGAATGCCAGTAGATCGTTTGAATAACGAGAAATTTCTTCTGTTTAACAAAAAATAATTGAATATCAATAAATTTTTTTTTGTTCAATGACAAATAAAATTGAATATCAATAAATCTTTTTTTTGTTTAACAACAAATAGTTTGACTAGAAATAAATGTTTTA